CTCTAACCACCTGGCCATGCCGGACCTTGAAGGTTTGATATTCACGGGCGAAGTTTGAGGCCCAAATGTAGGGGACAAAAGAACATGACTTAATTATTGTGAATGTCATATGTATAGTATATCCCACAGAAAAAAAGGGGGAGAAGGAAAACTTCTCACTCTTGTCCCCCCCCCCCACAAACACCACCACCTCGTAATCCCATCTATGCTTATAATGAACTCACGGATCTTGAGATGGTTTTTATTTAGACTTTGTGTCAACAAGATAAACAACTAAACAGTTACCTCATTCAATTATTTTAATTGAAATATTTCAGGTTTCTTCAGAGATTATCTAGAAAAATACGAATACATGTTCTACACCCTCGGGGCCTTATCGTTTATCGGCGCTCTGGAGTGGAGTCTAGAACCATTAGCAATGAGAAAGAAGCAAGAAATCCAAGAGAAAACACTGAGTTCGTCAAACTGCCAATGTTGAAATCGAGTTTTGAAACGCTTTTGTTGAATTCTGTAGTTTTTGTTTTGTTTTGAATAGATGGAAGTGTACAATACGAAAACTGTTTTCATTCCTTGTAAAATAAAAGATATTTTAACATTTTATGTAGTCATCTTAGCACTAAACTAAGAAACAGTTTGATTATAAAAATACAAGAATAATTACATATACGTTTTTAAACTAAAATCCACACACTCAAATTACTATAACATTCGGGCTCTAGAATTAATTTTGAAACAAGTATTTCGTGTTTCTGTCTGTACAGAGTAGTACTGCAGAATAATCATGTAACAATTAAAAACTAATCTTACAAATACTCCAAATCTACTGTTTTTAATATACTGTTAAGAACCAATTACTGATCTCTGCAAGTATTCCAAATCTACTGTTTTTAATATACTGTTAAGAACCAATTACTGATCTCTGCAAGTATTCCAAATCCACTGTTTTAATATACTGTTAAGAACCAATTACTGATCTCTGCAAGTATTCCAAATCTACTGTTTTAATATTGTTAAGAACCAATTACTGATGTCTGCAAGTATTCCAAATCTACTGTTTTAGTATTGTTAAGAACCAATTACTGATCTCTGCAAGTATTCCAAATCTACTGTTTTTAGTATTGTTAAGAACCAATTACTGATCTCTGCAAGTATTCCAAATCTACTGTTTTAGTATTGTTAAGAACCAACTGTCTATGTCATGAGAATGAATTAATTATAGTGGAATATAAGCTCTATAATTGAACGTTTTTGCTCTCAGGTTATATAAAGAATATTACAGTAAAATGAAACTGGAAACGCAAACACTATATAATATTTAGTGTTATACAACTACCAGAAACTATTTCTAACCTTAATGTGGGTAAATTTTCAAGTCCCAACAAAATTTCTTCGCTGGCAACAACTAACAAAGACATATAAATGTATATATCTTTGTGTGTGTGTGTGTGTGTGGTTGTTTAAAGTTCTACAAAGATAAAAAAAAACACTCCTTATTTTACTGTTACTTCTTTTTGGGTTATGGACACGCGTTGTCGTAGAATGATCGGCTCTAACGTCCACATGAGGGCGACAACGATGTCAAGGATTCCCAGAGTGTGAAAGAGGTTATTGTAAGCTCCAATATTATCCCGAAAATAACCTATTAAAATAAAACATAGAAATTTATTCGCAGATTATTGTAAACAATACGAGGATTAGGGATAAAAAGTACAGCTTTATCTTTGGAAGCTGGTAACAATGCATCTGTTTTTAATTAAATAGGCTTAAGTGGGAATAATGATGCCAGGTTAACTTTAACGGTAACATAAGGTTAACTTACCTAATCGGAACAGCCACCAATATTGTCAGGTTAACTTTAACGGTAACATAAGGTTAACTTACCTAATCGGAATAGCCACCAATATTGTCGGGTTAACTTTAACGGTAACATAAGGTTAACTTACCTAATCGGAACAGCCACCAATATTGTCAGGTTAACTTTAACGGTAACATAATATTAACTTACCTAATCTGAATAGCCATCAATATTGTCAGGTTAACTTTCTGAACAGTAGCAACAATGAAAGATGTTACGTCAACATTAACGTTAACATAAATCATATCTTACCTACTAAAACAGGCCTGCACAGAGAAGTAATACCAACCACGAACATCAGCAGGCCTTGAGCGATGGCTTGATCCTCCAGTCCTAGATACTCAGGCACAACTACTGTAATTAACACTCGTGCTAGGCCTGCTAGTATCCCACAGCCTGAACACAGAAGATGCAGCGTAAAATTAGTGGAAGCAACGGAAAACAAGGCGAAGAAAACTCCTAATAAGAGCATACTAACTATTATAGAAGATTTTCTTTTGACAGAAAACTGGTCAATGACCCACGGTATGAGGATGGAGCCCAGAGTGTCACCTGCCGAAAACCCAATAATTAGGTAACCTGCTGCGGAGTCAGGGACCCCCTGGTCCACAGCAAAGTCTGTAATAATCATGAAGAACGTGTGCATAGTACCGAAAAAAATAGAGTGGGTTACAGCAATGAGAATAAACATTAAGTTAGAACAAAGCGAAAGAAGAACTCTTAGAGAGCCTACAAAACTCTTCGTATTCTTGTTATTCTTATCATGTAATTGTTGTATTGGTTCCTGAAATTTCTCAGGTGTGTTATGATCATTAGTTCCACAAATCAGAACTGTTGGTGATGCATCTTGGGAGTGGAGTTCGTTTGATTCTTTTGTTTCGTCTTGTATTGCTATAGGTAGCGAATTATTTAATGGTTTGACAATTTTTCTGGCTTTTATTCTTTCATCTGGTTGAACAGAAAGTTCATCTTTTTTCAGCAAAGACAAAGTCAACACCATGGCTTCGTTGTGTACAGCACACTCTGGAGTTTTCGAATAAATCCGAACCGGGGGTCGAAGAAACATTGCAAAGATGACTGAATGTAGAACTACACCTCCCATGATCAGCATCGCTCCTCTCAGTGTGTAAGAATATAGGAGAAACTCAAGTAGTGGCGGGAATACGAAGGAGCTAATGGTTGCGCCAGCGCATGCGAGACCAATAGCAAAAGCCCGGTACTTTTGAAAGCTCCGACAGATGATGACTGGAAGCATTGGAAGAGCAATCCCCAAAGCAATACCTGCATATAGAAAACAATAATATGTTTAAACAGTGTATTTTTGAAAAGATATAGAATTATTCTGGGGAAAATAATTGTATTAAAAGATCGTGAGAAGAAAGTCAACTTAAATGATTATAGAAAGAATATTAAACTTTACAACTTTTTCTTAATTTGATTTTTGCCTGTTGAACTCAATTCTTTATAAAGCATTTTTTTTTCGTTTTTAAATAAAGGAAAATCATAATAATTCAATACATTTAAAAACTGTTATGTGATTTTTTCAATATTTACATGGTTATATTAAGTTCCTTCATATTTTAAAGAGAAAATCCATCATACATATGCTTTTTAATGTTACTGCATATATGAATGTTGTTTTAGAAAATCTTTTGTTTCTCCTCGTTTAGCCCAACTAATGAGTTCTGGTAATAAACGAAAGGCCTTTTTGGCAGTGAACTGTGGGAGACAAAAGGTATATCTGAAAATATCTCAAATGCCATTTTTTACACTCATGTGTTTTGGAACTCGAAATGGACAAATTGAGATGAATGTATAAAAACACCTAAATTTTACGTTATTCTTATCACAAATTTTAGACCTATAAGAGATCTTTTTGTTTACCAAAAATGTATAACATGATTTTTGAAGGATCAATTAATATTGTTATGTATCTGCTTGTTTGAGAATTTCCGGTAAAAATTCTTTCAGAGGAACTTCAGCGATACAAGTCCCTTCTTGATTAAAAACTAGTTTATTCTTTCTCGATACAAATTTTTTGTAATACACAGAATTTCC